GATATATTATTAAGCAAGCTTGAGCATTATGGCATTCGTGGGATAGCTTTGAAATGGTTTAAAAATTACTTACATAATCGATTACAGTATGTAGTGGTTAATGGAGTTAAATCACAATCTAGGAAGGTAAAATATGGCGTACCCCAAGGCTCAGTCCTGGGCCCCTTATTGTTCTTGATTTATATTAATGATATTATAAACTCATCTCAGTTGTTTACTTATTCACTTTTTGCTGATGATACTTGCTTGCTCTCTCACCACAAAGACATGCATAATCTGATTTTGTCTGCAAATAATGAAGTTCACAATATATTTAAGTGGTTTTGTTGCAACAAACTTTTGTTAAATGCTAGTAAGACTCAATATGTTGTTTTTAGATCAAGGGGCAAAAGAATCCCAGATAATATTGACCCCCTGACAATAGGTGGTCATCTGATCAACCGGAGTCAAAATGTAAGGTTTCTTGGAGTTACAGTTGATGATCATTTAACTTGGAAAGATCACCTCAGCAATGTTTGTACCAAGGTCTCGAGGAGTGTTGGTGTGATTTTTAAGTTACGCTTTTTTTTACCAGAGCAAACTTTAGTAACTCTTTATAATGCTATCATTATGCCTCACTTAACTTATTGTAATGTTGCATGGGGAAATACGTATAGGAGCCATATAAACACGTTAATAGTCCTTCAGAAGAAAGCTATCAGGCTCATTACAAATTCAAATTACAGAAGTCCAAGTAATCCTTTATTTGTGCAACTTCAGATGTTGCCTCTTGATGAATTAGTCTCCATGAATTGTTTGATATTCATGTACAAATCTCAATCTGCTCAAAATAATTCATTTTTAAAAGATGCGTTTATTGTTAATTCGACTGTCCATTCGTACAACACACGTCAGAGAAATCTTATCCATCAGCCGTTTGCGAGAACACAAACTGCTTCGAACTCTTTTGTAATTAATTGTATCAAAGAATGGAATAAGTTGCCACAAAACATCAGATCCAGTCCAACCCTACCTATGTTTAAACATACATGTCGAGAATATCTTTTTGAGAGATTACAAAATATGTTAAAGTAAATCCTGGAAAGCCATGTGTGTATGTGTGTATGTGGGTGTGTCTGTGTGTGTGTGCGTGGGTGTGTATGTGTATGTGTGTTATCTTTTTTTCTGTTCCCATATTTACTCATTAGTTATCATTGTAAATATGTTTTTGTCATCGGTTATTCTAAATACTGTTATTTTGTTTTTTGTTTATGTACCTTTTAAGGGGCCCCTTATCACAAGCTCTGCTTCTCCGGGGTCCCAAACCTATCATGTTTTTTATTTCTTTTGTGTCAATTGATTGTAAAATGTTGTGTTTGATTGGTTTGAATAAACTTGAACTTGAACTTGAACTTAATGTGTTAGACAATTATGCTCATTCAAGACAAGTTTAAGTCCCCTTTCCAAATTATTGAAAAACTATATGACTAATCTATCATATAAGCCAAGAATATGTAATAGTACCTTCCCATTGTTACCATGGCAACATGAATTAGAGTTTAATATAACAAGATGCTCTGTACGGTACTATATTTTGGCTATATCTTAGGATAGGAGAGGTGTTAAAAGTTCATTTTGGTGTCTATACACAGGTTTTCAGGCACAGGGAACAGAGCTAAAGCATTATTTTGGACATTAACATAGGACATCACCGCTATTTTTCATACATTTGCATAAAATCAGAGCAAAATGACCATAAACGTATTCTGCCACTGCATATTACAAGCTGTTTCTTAGGGTTTAGAAAGATATAACATTGTGATGAATACATTAGATGCCAGAAAACTTCTTTTGATTGTATGCAATGCTGGAACCAGCACAGATTCATCTCATTAATTTGTTTGGTATTGTATCAAAAACTGTGAAGAACCTGGGATGTATATCTCTTGGCATATGCACACTGTGGTTACCCATTGAGAAGATGTTTCAAATGCTGGACTGTCTAGAGTGTAGAGTCAGGTGTCATCGCTATTAGCTCCGTAGCTGGAGTGATCGAATGCTGCAAGTACAACCGTGCAGTCAAGTTGTTGTACGAGGCATTTATGCGACAGGCATGGAAAGGCTTTCTACCGTCCCTGTCTGGAAACCAACGACCAGGTTCACCTGGAAGAAAGCCTCAGAGTCGTGAACAGCCTATCTGAAGATCGTTTCTCAAGCTGCTGGCTGTGAGATGATTGAGAATCGGTCATTTGAGCCCATCTTCAAGCTGTTTGATGTCTATCTTGATTACCTGATACAGGAGAATCGGACCCTCTCGGCCTTCTGGATGTCATATGTGGACATCGTTGAGGTTATGGTAGGTCTGGTTTGGGCATTTAGAGAGAGTGTCTGGGTGCTGCACCTCGCTTTCATTCGTGCAATGATTCCCTGGTGCTTCGCCGACGACAAACTGAACTATGGCTTTCTTCCCTACTATGGTTATTATGCAAATGGACCAATAAAATTAATCTGAATCTGAATCTGAATGCACATATGTCCCGGCTGGCCAATTGATCACCTAGATGTGCATAAACAATTCATGCAGGGCCAGAGATTTTCTGTACAAGTTGGTAGGACCTCTTTGGCAAATCCCAGTCGACCAGAAAATTGAAGAAACCATCAACAAGGACACACAGACCACTGGGGGGGGGACAAAAGGCTTCAGCGTTAAACCAGGAGCTGACAGTAGGTACTACCTGACATCTGAGTACAGAGGCTCATATTATTTTGAGGGAGTTGAGAGACATATGGTCAGCAGAAACAGTTTACAGCACTTACAGCACAATCATCCGGACCTGCAACTAAGCTGGATAAGAAAAGATGAGACCGATGTTTGTTTATTTGTGGAACTATTCGAGAACAGATGAGCTCGAGCCATGATGAAACAGAGTTGGTCAACTTGTCTATTGTATCCTGGCCCACCAGATATTGCCAATGACCTGCTGAAAGTTCACAACGTTGGAAATGAAGCATACCGAGAAGATCATTTGGAAAAAGAGCAACCCATGGTAAACTTTCATGAAAAATGAAAAAAGAAAGAGAGCCCGAAGACCTTTCTCAACATCAATAAAAAGCAGACTGGTTACAAAGCTAAAGGGAATCAGGTAATTGTGAAGGCAGACCGAAACCTCTTTGGGCGCATAATCATCATTGCGCACAGCAGAGCGCTATCTATTAGAGAGGTTCTAGCACGCCCACTCGGACCAATACCATGGTCACTGGCAACAGCTTTGCTCTCTGCGCAAGACAAACAGAGCTGGATAAAATTTTGTCACCAGCAGCTTGTATCATTGATGGAATGAGCCTTGTCCATAGACTCAAAGGAGATGGCAAGTCATTTGCACATCTAGCAGATGCTGCACTGAGGCTAGTTCTACGCGAAGGCACTGATAGTGCCAGGATTGATGTCGTGTTCGATGTCTACAGGGATGAGTCCATCAAGAATGCAGAGAGATACAACAGAGGTCCCATCGCTGGAACTGCAGTGGAAGAACATTGCTCCTTGTCACAACATTTTGCAGTAGAAAAAATTCCTGAGAAACCCTGAAAAAAAAAAATCCTCATCAAATTTTTGGTTGATCAGTGGAAGCAGCCTGCAGAGAGGGAGAACCTTAATGATAAGTCACTTTATGTGGCAAGTGGAGAAGCACTATGAAGAAATCATAACTCTGAAGACAACACAAGAGGAAGCTGACACACGACTGCTTCTTCATGCATGACATGCTGCGGAGGATGGATACAGATTCATAATAATCACAGCCGAAGACAGAGATGTGCTGATAATCTGTGTCTGTATTATCGTGCTCAGTGTCCAATAACATTTGATTTAAATGACAAGCGGGGAAATCTCTCGGCCCGCAGAGATTTTATGTTTGTTACATTTTTCCACTGTGCCCTCATCATTTCCGGTCCGCCTCCATACTGGTTCCTTACCACTTCCAACGCGCTCAGTACCATCTAGTGTCATCGTGTTCGCCTTTCCCTCGCCAGGTCTTACCAGATCCCGACCGGTGGGTACCTGCTGCTTACCGCCCGGAACGCAACCATAAAAGGGCCATTCGCTGAACGTTCGTTTGACTTTGAAGACGTCACACACGGTAAAAAAAAAAGCTCGGCACTTACCCTAGCTACCGGTCACACTTCAGTTCTCGAGTTGACGGATGTACGTCCTCATCGTTCATCATTGTTATGAACAATTATTCATAAATCTTCATCATTCTTCATAATGCCTACACATGGAAGCAGGGGCGGCAGAGCGACTAACAAATTAGAGGGGGGCCAACAAAAAGGGCACCTACAAAGGGGCACTTTATTAAAGTAATAGGTGCACTTGTAAAAGGGGCAATTTTCCCTATGTACAAAGGGCACTTCTGGGGTACTTCAAAAATGGGGGCACTGTGCACATAGCCCCCCCCCCCCCCCCCTGAGCGGCAC